GTATTCCCCCGGAGGAGCTGGAGGAAGTGTCTGGAGAGAGGGAGGTCTGGGCATCTTTGCTTAGACTGCTGCCCCCGCGACCCGGTCCTGGATAAGTGGAAGAAAATGGATGGATGGATGGATTTACAATTATTGCACTGTGTGTGCTGTACCATGTTATTCATACATTGTATGTATAATGTTTGTATTCTCATATATATCACTTTTGAGTGTTTTAGGTATCCTGTTATACAAACCAGCATGGATTAACTGTTCATAATAATGCTGATACGAGGAAGAAACTCTCCTTATGTCTGCTTGTTTTGGCATACATTGTTAGAGAGATATATCCACTGCTGGAAAAACTAGTTAATACCTGGAAAGCAACCGCTGCCCCAACATGTGTGTGTGTGTGTAACCCCCGCGTATCACATCCCATCTGAAAACTGGTTTAGGCACTGCCATCCTTTCAGACTTTGGAATTTGCTAGACTCAGAATCAGTCTGCATGGGGCTGCTGAGTACAGTACACCACACACCGGGCCAGTGTCTTGCATGGCAGCTCTGTGCCATTGGTGTGTGTGTGTGTGTGTGTGTGTGTGTGTGTGTGTGTGTGTGTGTGTGTGTGTGTGTGTGTGTGTGAGAGAGAGAGAGAATGGATGAATGTGTGGCAGCTATTGTGAAGCATTTTGTCTGGTAAGGTAGGAAAGCGCTATATGTGCAGTCTGTTTTATATTTTCCTTTTTTTTACACTGTACACATAATCGGAGTCTTGTTGCTATATGATGTTTATTAGCAGTGGGACTGCTCACAAAATTCATGGTTCAGTTCACGTCACAGTTTTGGGGTCAGTTTTTGATTTTGTTCGGTACATTTTTGGTAAAGTGATGGGTGGGGGTGGGCATAACGGTTTAAAATGCATTTTATTTATTTGGCACAAAACTTAATTTGCCTTAAAAAGCTGTATAAGCGCATGATGAACATAAACATTTCATTATAAAGCACATCATAAACCAAACACACACTGTACATTCTATTTTTGTTCCTCTGCAAGATGCCAAATCTGTACACATTCGTAGGTGCAAGACATGATGTAGGGATGTTTCAGTGAGAACAAGGTAACATCATTTACACCATTTCACTAGTGTGTCACTCAACAGAGTTCCATTCATTCAAATGGAGGTACATCACCATGTTGTTTTAAAGCTTCAGATCTAGCTTAATCCCCAGTAAATCTGTAGCAGAACAAAACAATGAGGAAGACCCTCTAACCTTGCTTTGTCTTGCACACTTGCCATTTTCAACACTGAGAGATGCACTGAACACTTCATCTGTGTCATCTAAATGTCACTGGGTTATTGTTCAAGACTTGCCTGCAGCCCAGTAACTTTAGATGTTTTCTGTCTGTGCCATATCATATTTCAAACGAATATAGTCCCAACACTTGGTTACTTTATATTGCTTCAAATAAAAAAATGAATGGGCAGCACAGGGGGTGTCACATGCTCTGTGGCAGAACTCAAAGTCAGGACTTAAAGTCTATCATATACAGAAACTGCACTGATGCAAGTCACCAATGACCTCCCCCTAGTCTCAGACAATGGACTCCTCTCTATACTCCTAGATCTCAGTGCTGCATTTGACACCACTGATCACTGTAGACACTTTTTTGTGTAAAAGTAAACATAATATAGTGCTAAATTTAATATACAAGGTATATCTAGCTCTGTAGTAACACAACTTTCAGCCTGTGCCTTTATGTTACATTTTGTAAGGATCAGATAATTAGCACTCTTAGGTACAGTTGTTTTTGGCGACTTGTTTTAATTTTAGTTTTAGTCTAGTCTTTGTGTGAAGCTGTCATTTTAGTTTTTATTAGTTTTAGTCACGTTCATACTCTTTTTAGTCTAGTCAAGCTTCAGTCAACTAAATGTCTGAGCATTTGTCTTATTTTAATCGGAATTATCCATGACTATTTTCATCTAGTTTTAGTCAATGAAAATTGTATTTTAGCCTCTTTTAATATTGCAAGTTTATTTAACCCAGTCAATATAGTATAAGTACCTAGTAGTGTAGACGAAACCAAAATGTTCTTTTAGCCAAACCTACATTTTGTCTCGTTTTGGTCAACGAAAATGAAGACACATTTTGGCATAGTTTTTATTTTGTAAACCACATTTAGTCTCGTTTTTTTCGTCAACAATATTGCATTATACATTTAATTATAGTCATCGTCACATGACCAGCATTTACGTTGCATCTCGTCTCATTTACATCACATGATAAAGGTTCGTTGATGACGATATGTAGCTTTTGCACAGCAGTGGAGCAAAGTGACAATACTCATGGTGTATTAAGAAAGGAAAGGTGACAGTGGTGCGGTGGTAGAGCAGTCGTCTCCCAACCAGAAGGTTGAAGATTCGAATCTCGGTACCAGCAGTCCACATGGCAAAGTGTCCTTGGGCAAGACACTGAACCCCCCCGATGGTTAGAGCTGTCGGTTGAGGTGGCGCCGCAGATGGCTGCCATCGGTTCTGTACCGGAAACAAATTCCTTGTGTGTAACATACTTGGCCAATAAAGGTGATTATCTTTATTAAATAAAGGTCGGACTACTTGAATAGAAAAGTGAAAACTTGAAGTTCCTCATTCACATTAGAACATATTGTTTTAATTGGTATTTCAAACATGGAAAAAGTAAATAAGAGTACAAAACAAAAAACATCTTCACTGTAATATTAACAGTATAAATGCAGAAAGGCAAAATATAAGATGCAAATTTCATTTTTTGCCATACATTTCTTAAACAAAGCTTGATCCTTTTTCAGTTTCTGTAATTCTTTGGAGCCCTTATTAAAAACAAAGTTTTAGATAAGAAAATATTAGCAGGAAGACTTACAGCGTGGTTAGGGACAGTCTTTATTTTTATCACTCTTGCTGTGTATTTTGTAAATGTCACACCTTCTAATGGTCCAAGCATGTACTGTAGTCACAACTGAGGTGACATACAAGTAACTTCTATTTTTCTGCCATTAGTATTTTGTGGTCACACACTAAATGCTATTTTAAAAAGTGTACTGGCTAACAAACACTGTTTAATTAACAGCTATCAACAAGCCTGCTCTTGCATAAGCAATATGACTTCTCATGTTTATGCAACAGTGGAGTTCATGGCAATCTTTCTTCACCTCATTTGTGAATGTGCCTGTTATATATCTGGGAAAACAACATAAAGTGAGCTTCACCTGAGTGTTTAAGGAGCGGCCTGCAAATGCTCATATTGTATTATCTGTCAATAAAAAGTCAGTACGTGAATGCCTACATAACTGAATGTTGTTCAGTGTTGTGTACTGTGATACTGAATTTCCACTGGTAAAGTGAATAAAACTGAATCATTTCAGACTGAGTTCAGCTGCAAGGTGTAACAAGGCTCCCTGTCAGCCTTTAGGGTTCTCTCTCTCATCCTGCATGATCACTTCAATTTGGTTTCCCAGGCTGGAGAAACACGGCCGCTCATCGAAGTTGTACGCCCAGCACTGCTTCATCAAACTGTACACCTGGTGTTACAATGAAAACAATTTTACTGGAACTGTTCATATTTGTATTATAGATTATGAAGGTAAGATGTTTTTTTATGACCAATATTGACACAAAAGTCATTGCAAAAGATAACCAATGTTTTCGAAAGTGTTGCGCATTGTCCTTATTTTAAGGAACATACATTGTCACTCATTCCTGATGCAATTATGCTACCAGTGGTTTCATTTATATAACATCACATTTAGGAATATGCAAATATAGAAAAGTGACAAATGATTTTTTTATAATCAACATTAAAGTCTTCTGGCTACTGTATTGAACCAAGAATGAACATACCTTGGGTGGGCAGTGTGGAGGAGGCAGCAACCTCCAGTTACTTTTTAGAATATTTGTCAGATGCACTGAAATGGATGGACCCTGCACATTGTGTCCAATCTCCTGTATATATAGCTGAAAAGTGATTAAAACATTTTAAAGGGAAAACAAA